CAATCAGCTTCTAACTTCAGTTAAGTTTTGACAATAGAACCTGGAAGCTGATTGGTTGCTATGCACAGCTGCACCAGATTCTGAGTGCACCAGTTTTAGTAAATCTCACTGAAAGTATATAAATCCCCGTTGTGTGCACCAATTGTCTTTGCAAACCCAGATATTACCTTGTAAATGTAGCAGTGACATCATCACTGTGTTGACCTTAGCCTGTGTAGAGAGCAGAGCTGTGAGAGGGTCCACCCATTACAGGTTGCCTGTAGAAAACTACAGGAGGGGGTGGAGACAAGACTAGTCACCCTGCACAAGAAGAGAGAACAGCAGTGACAGGTCTTTATTAAAGGAAGCTCTGCACAAAAGCAAAGTGAAGAAATAGTTTCTCACTGGATCACTGCATCTGTAAGAAACACTCAAAACAGACCAATATTCAAATAAGATGCACATGGCTCTTGTATTTAGACAATTGTTGTTTAGCCTGAAGTTCAGCTTTAAAAGAGGATTAGTTTGTTGGAGTGGCAAAATACCACCTAAAATCATGTCCAATCTAATTCTCAGTATGATATATAGAAAAATATAACATTTCTTAAGTGTTGTAATAACTGGCAAGAATCATCTGCCTTAGAGGATTCATAAAAATGTTCATTTAACAATCATATGTGTGGTCCACTTACTCCCTAGTTATGTTTAGTCTGGGAGGTAGAAATGAACAAAAGCTGCCAGCAGGCCAATACTTAAGGTTGTCAAATACAGCATATAAATGTTTCTCACAATGGCTGCACCAAGAAGGTTTACATTGAACTCTTCCTAGGAGTTAGGCGTATGCTTTATGCAGTCAGTAAAAACATTGTCAACTCATTTGACCCTACTGTAGTCTACATATGTGCAGCATATACAAACATTATATCTGTTGATAGAGTTTAATTGAAACGAAAGAAAGAGAGGAGAGAGAGAGAGAGAGAGAGAGAGAGAGAGAGAGAGAAGAAAGGGGGAAAGAAAGAAAGAAAGAAAGAAAGAAAGAAAGAAAGAAAGAAAGACGGTTCATATCTGATTTATTTCACCGACCAGAAAAGTAATATTTCAGTGTAATTTCTCCTTTACCAGAACACTACACTTTGTATTTTCACATTTCAAGCCCCATGCAGGGAAAGCAACAGGTTAGCTTTCTTGTCCTCCTTCCCAACACATACTGTATTTACAATTCTCTGCTACTGCTGTTCTGTTCCACTGGGAACAAAGAGAAATTTTGGTACTTTGGGGTATAGAGGAACATGTAACTCACTTACCTTCTTCTTGTAAGAGTGGCTCTGTGATTAGCTGGATGTTGGTGCCAAAGCACATGTCCTTGCCCTGCTCTTGTCCTTTTGCTGGAACACTATCCCATCTGCTGAGAACAAATCCCCTGTCATATTGTGCCCACTCCATGTCTGATGCCTCCACACAACATTCCTGAACATCCCCAAGGAAGGCATGTCCACACATGAGTAAGGCTGTTGCACTTTATTAATGGGACTCAGGAAAGGGCATAACAGTCACATCACATTGGCATAAATTCCAGAGTTACTTGACAATACATAGTCAATTACATTTAGTGGATGATTCACAGCAGTCACTCTCCTGGGTAGGAGTCTACTTCTCCCCACGCTCCAGCACTGTCCAGGGCCTCCATGTGCTGGCTGGCTACATCTGTACTGGTGTGGGTGATTAGCTCCCATGCCTCAAATGCACAAGGGTTCCTCCCATCCTGACTTATAACTGTGCCCTGATTCACCCATGACATCACTACAGGAGCGCTCTAACTAAAAGGGGCCTAGCACCTGATGACACTGTACTCAAACAAACATTATTCTGGTACAAATCCACCTAGTGACAGACTAGCTAGCTGCACCTACCTACACTCACTTATGTGACAATGCTAATGCTTGGTGGTTAGCCCACCTCTGTCATATGGAGATAAGGAGATAGTTGTGTGTAAAACCCATCCAGAACAACCCAGAGCTTATACAGGGCTTTACTCTCTCTCTCTCCAAAGTGTTAAATGGAGTAATGGAGGAACAAATGAAAAATTAGCATGTGGTGCTGGGGAAGAGGACATAAAAGTGAGCTTGCAGGAGCTGTGGAGCTGGGCCTCAGAGAAGACTTCTTATGGGGGACTGCACCACACAGGAGGTGGGTATTGCAATCAGAGCTGATTTTTTCATTTTTACATCAGCTGGTCCTCAGGTCTTTTTTTTTTTAAGGGTTGGGGTTGGCTTCTCTGTCACTGAGGTTTCCAACATTCCAGGATGAATAAGTTATTGTCCTTGAACCCCCTAAGTTTGGCCTCTGTATAATATTTCTTTTGCTTTGTCTTCACAATTTCATTCTGAAAATTGTAGGAAATGTGCCCACAGAGCAGTATTAAAGTGAGGGAAGGCTTCCTTTTTACTTCTGTCATTGGTTGACTTCAACGGACTTTGATAGTATCACCCCAAAGCTAGAGTTCGAAAATGGCATCAATTCCCCCACATAATACAAAATCATATTAAGAAATGTCTTTATGTTTTCAGAGTACCGGTTTAACAATACAAATACATTCTTTTAATTAGGTATTTAATTTATTATATAAAAAAGCAGTCCCCCAAACTATGGCTTGTGTTGTGGTTACTGCATCCTGGTTGCTGCAAATCAGCCATGCAATGAGAAGGCCTACATGCAGAGCTTTCTCATTGAAAGCCATGGGGAGGGATCCACTAATTGCAGAGTGGCAATAAGTTCTGGAAACACACCTGGAAAATCTTTACACAATCCTCTGCCCAATGATGCCTGTACAGTCCCAACCATGACAACACCATGAGGAGATGTGTGGGAGTTTTTGACTGCAAGGTAAGTACTACTGTACACCAATGCTGGGGCACCATTTCACCATCTGAACACCAAAAATTGGGCACTGTTTTCATTATACTGATCACTGCTCCCCAAAGCTTGAGCACTATTTCTCCCAATGAATACTTCTAATGGGGCATTTTCCCGCTGACCACTTGGACACCAATGATGGGACAACTATTACTGCAAGGGACCACTGACACCAATGATGGGACACTATTACTAGAGATGAGCGTAATCGAACCAGGCGAAAACCGGAATTCGAGTATTTCAGGAAATATTCGATTCGCGTCGAATCCGAAATTTTGCCTACTGTCGGGTGCCGAATCGATGGTGCGACATATTACGAGTGACATCTAAAAGCGAATCGAAAATTTGTCCCTGCAAAATGAAGCTCCTGCAAGCTCACGCTTTCTGACAGTTCTCTGACAGAAGGAAAACACATGTTTAGCGGTTGAAACTTTGTATTCTATTAGTTTCCATTTAGGATACAGATGTTTCGCGCATGTACATGTGAAGAAAAGCTGTCAGAGAACTGTCAGAAATAGAAGGAACTCTGCACATACACTACTTGCGGTGCTTGCGAATTAAACTTCTTTTCAGCCGGCAAAAAGTGTCCCTGCAGTGAGCTCCGCTATTTCTGACAGTTCTCTGACAGAAGGAACACATGTTTAGCGGTTGAAACATTGTATCTATTAGTTCCATTTAGGATACAGATGTTTCCAACCGGCTGTACATGTGAAGAAGCTGTCAGCAGATAACTGTCAGAAACTTAGAGGAACTCTGCACATACACTTTTTGCCGGCTTGGAATTATTCTTCTTTTCATCCTACTTCTTCTTCTTCTTCTTCTTCATCCTCATCCTCATCCTCTTCTTCTGAGGATGAGGATGAGGATGAAGAAGAAGAAAGAAGAAGTAGGATGAAAAGAAGAATAATTCCAAGCCGGCAAAAAGTGTATGTGCAGAGTTCCTCTATTCTGCAGATACACTTAGAGGAGCTCTGCAGATACACTTAGAGGAGCTCTGCACATACACTTTTTGCCGGCTTGGAATTAATCTTATTTTCATCCTACTTCTTCTTCTTCTTCTTCATCCTCATCCTCATCCTCAGAAGAAGAAGGAAGAGGATGAGGATGAAGAAGAAGTAGGATGAAAATAAGAATAATTCCAAGCCGGCAAAAAGTGTATGTGCAGAGTTCCTCTATTCTGCAGATACACTTAGAGGAGCTCTGCACATACACTTAGAGGAGCTCTGCACATACACTTTTTGCCGGCTTGGAATTAATTCTTATTTTCATCCTACTTTCTTCTTCTTCTTCATCCTCATCTCTCATCCTCAGAAGAAGAAGAGGATGAGGATGAAGAAGAAGAAGAAGAAGAAGTAGGATGAAAATAAGAATAATTCCAAGCCGGCAAAAAGTGTATGTGCAGAGCTCCTCTAAGTGTATCTGCAGAGCTCCTCTAAGTGTATCTGCAGAATAGAGGAACTCTGCACATACACTTTTTGCCGGCTTGGAATTATTCTTATTTTCATCCTACTTCTTCTTCTTCATCCTCATCCTCTTCTTCTTCTGAGGGATGAGGATGAAGAAGAAGAAGAAGAAGAAGTAGGATGAAAATAAGATTAATTCCAAGCCGGTTTCTTGAAAAAAGTGTATGTGCAGAGCTCCTCTAAGTGTATCTGCAGAATAGAGGAACTCTGCACATACACTTTTTGCCGGAAACCGCTGTATGGAGGGAATGTCCCATAACTGTCAGAAATAGACTATTTCTGACAGTTCTGGGACATTCACTCATACAGCGGTTTCAACCGCTGTATGGAGGGAATGTCATAGAACTGTCAGAAATAGACTATTTATGACAGTTCTGGGACATTCACTCCATACAGCGGTTGAAACATTGTATCTATTTTTTTCCATAAATGACATTCTGCAAATACACTTAGAGGAGCGCTGCAGATACACCTTTTGCCGGCTTGGAATTAATCTTATTTTCATCCTACTTCTTCTTCATCCTCATCCTCATAAAGAAGAAGAAGAAGTAGGATGAAAATAAGAATAATTCCAAGCCGGCAAAAAGTGTATCTGCAGCGCTCCTCTAAGTGTATCTGCAGAATGTCATTTATGGAAAAGAATAGATACAATGTTTCAACCGCTGTATGGAGTGAATGTCCCAGAACTGTCAGAAATAGACTATTTATGACAGTTCTGGGACATTCACTCCATACAGCGGTTTCAACCGCTGTATGGAGGGAATGTCATAGAACTGTCAGAAATAGACTATTAATGACAGTTCTGGGACTGTCCTTCCATACAGCGGTTGAAACATTGTATCTATTTGTTTCCATAAATGACATTCTGCAGATACACTTAGAGGAGCGCTGCAGATACACTTTTTTGCCTACTTCTTCTTCTTCTTCTTCATCCTCATCCTCTTCTTCTTCTTATAAGGATGAGGATGAAGAAGAAGAAGAAGAAGTAGGATGAAAATAAGATTAATTCCAAGCCGGCAAAATGTGTATCTGCAGCGCTCCTCTAAGTGTATTTGCAGAATGTCATTTATGGAAAAAAATAGATACAATGTTTCAACCGCTGTATGGAAGGAATGTCATAGAACTGTCAGAAATAGACTATTTCTAACAGTTCTGGGATTTTCCTTCCATACAGCGGTTGAAACATTGTATCTATTTGTTTCCATAAATGGATCCATTTATGGAAACAAATAGATACAATGTTTCAACCGCTGTATGGAAGGAATGTCCCATAACTGTCAGAAATAGACTATTTCTGACAGTTCTGGGACATTCACTCCATACAGCGGTTGAAACCGCTGTATGGAGGGAATGTCATAGAACTGTCAGAAATAGACTATTTCTAACAGTTCTGTGACATTCCTTCCATACAGCGGTTGAAACATTGTATCTATTTGTTTCCATAAATGGATCCATTTATGGAAACAAATAGATACAATGTTTCAACCGCTGTATGGAAGGAATGTCCCATAACTGTCAGAAATAGAGTATTTCTGACAGTTTGGGACATTCACTCCATACAGCGGTTTCAACCGCTGTATGGAGGGAATGTCATAGAACTGTCAGAAATAGACTATTTATGACAGTTCTGGGACATTCACTCCATACAGTGTGGTTGAAACATTGTATCTATTTTTTTCCATAAATGACATTCTGCAAATACACTTAGAGGAGCGCTGCAGATACACTTTTTGCCGGCTTGGAATTAATCTTATTTTCATCCTACTTCTTCTTCTTCATCCTCATCCTCATAAGAAGAAGAAGAAGAAGAAGTAGGATGAAAATAAGAATAATTCCAAGCCGGCAAAAAGTGTATCTGCAGCGCTCCTCTAAGTGTATATGCAGAATGTCATTTATGGAAAAAAAATAGATACAATGTTTCAACCGCTGTATGGAGTGAATGTCCCAGAACTGTCAGAAATAGACTATTTATGACAGTTCTGGGACATTCACTCCATACAGCGGTTTCAACCGCTGTATGGAGGGAATGTCATAGAACTGTCAGAAATAGACTATTAATGACAGTTCTGGGACTGTCCTTCCATACAGCGGTTGAAACATTGTATCTATTTGTTTCCATAAATGGATCCATTTATGGAAACAAATAGATACAATGTTTCAACCTGGAAGGAATGTCCCAGAACTTTCATAAATAGTCTATTTCTGACAGTTCTATGACATTCCCTCCATACAGCAGTTTCAACCGCTGTATGGAGTGAATGTCCCAGAACTGTCATAAATAGTCTATTTCTGACAGTTCTGGGACATTCACTCCATACAGCGGTTGAAACATTGTATCTATTTTTTTCCATAAATGACATTCTGCATATACACTTAGAGGAGCGCTGCAGATACACTTTTTGCCGGCTTGGAATTATTCTTATTTTCATCCTACTTCTCTTCTTCTTCTTATGAGGATGAGGATGAAGAAGAAGAAGTAGGATGAAAATAAGATTTATTCCAAGCCGGCAAAAAGTGTATCTGCAGCGCTCCTCTAAGTGTATTTGCAGAATGTCATTTATGGAAAAAAAATAGATACAATGTTTCAACCACTGTATGGAGTGAATGTCCCAGAACTGTCATAAATAGTCTATTTCTGACAGTTCTATGACATTCCCTCCATACAGCGGTTGAAACCGCTGTATGGAGTGAATGTCCCAGAACTGTCAGAAATACTCTATTTCTGACAGTTATGGGACATTCCTTCCATACAGCGGTTGAAACATTGTATCTATTTGTTTCCATAAATGGATCCATTTATGGAAACAAATAGATACAATGTTTCAACCGCTGTATGGAAGGAATGTCCCAGAACTGTTAGAAATAGTCTATTTCTGACAGTTCTATGACATTCCCTCCATACAGCGGTTGAAACCGCTGTATGGAGTGAATGTCCCAGAACTGTCAGAAATAGTCTATTTCTGACAGTTCTGGGACATTCCCTCCATACAGCGGTTGAAACCGCTGTATGGAGTGAATGTCCCAGAACTGTCAGAAATAGACAGAAACTGTCACAGAACTGTCCTTCTTCTCATCCTTCTCCTTCTTCTCATCCTTCTCCTTCTTCTCATCCTTCTTCTCATCCTTCTTCTCATCCTTCTCCTTCTTCTCATCCTTCTCCTTCTTCTCATCCTTCTCCTTCTCCTTCTTCTCATCCTTCTCCTTCTCCATCTTCTCATCCTTCTCCTTTTCCTTCTTCTCATCCTTCTCCTTCTGCTTCTCCTTCTCCTTCTTCTCATCCTTCTCCTTCTTCTCATCCTTCTCCTTCTTCTCATCCTTCTCCTTCTCTTTCTTCTCATCCTTCTCCTTCTTCTCATCCTTCTCCTTCTTCTCATCCTTCTCCTTCTTCTCATCCTTCTCCTTCTCCTTCTTCTCATCCTTCTCCTTCTTCTCATCCTTCTCCTTCTTCTCATCCTTCTCCTTCTCCTCATCCTTCTCCTTCTTCTCATCCTTCTCCTTCTTCTCATCCTTCTCCTTCTCCATCTTCTCATCCTTCTCCTTCTTCTCATCCTTCTCCTTCTGCTTCTCCTTCTCCTTCTGCTCCTTCTTCTCATCCTTCTCCTTCTTCGCATCCTTCTCCTTCTTCTCATCCTTCTCCTTCTTCTCATCCTTCTCCTTCTCCTTCTTCTCATCCTTCTCCTTCTTCTCATCCTTCTCCTTCTCCTTCTTCTCATCCTTCTCCTTCTTCTCATCCTTCTCCTTCTCCTCATCCTTCTCCTTCTCCTTCTTCTCATCCTTCTCCTTCTTCTCATCCTTCTCCTTCTCCATCTTCTCATCCTTCTCCTTCTTCTCATCCTTCTCCTTCTTCTCATCCTTCTCCTTCTCCTCATCCTTCTCCTTCTCCTTCTTCTCATCCTTCTCCTTCTCCTTCTTCTCATCCTTCTCCTTCTTCTCATCCTTCTCCTTCTCCATCTTCTCATCCTTCTCCTTCTCCTTCTTCTCATCCTTCTCCTTCTTCTCATCCTTCTCCTTCTTCTCATCCTTCTCCTTCTCCTCATCCTTCTCCTTCTTCTCATCCTTCTCCTTCTTCTCATCCTTCTCCTTCTCCTTCTTCTCATCCTTCTCCTTCTCCTTCTTCTCATCCTTCTCCTTCTCCATCTTCTCATCCTTCTCCTTCTTCTCATCCTTCTCCTTCTCCTTCTCCTTCTTCTCATCCTTCTCCTTCTTCTCATCCTTCTCCTTCTCCTTCCTGATCTCCAAGGGCATTTAAATTAAAGGTACAGTGTTCTGCACTAATTTAAAGGCTCTCTGAAGCCTAGAAACCCTTTTTATAAGCCATCTTCGTAGCGAAGAAATTCGCATCGAATCGAATTTCATACTGGAATTTCGCCGAATCAGCCGAATCGAATTTTTCAATACTTCGCTCATCTCTAACTATTACTCCAAGGGACCACTGATATCAGTGGTGGGGCACCATTACTCCACTTGACCACTGACAATTGGACATTTATTCTGCGTTCCCCTGAAGTGTAATTTTGGTAGCCCATTCAGACTATTGCCATTATATGCAGTGTTATATAGGAAAAACAATTATTGGGGGGAGGGGGTGACACCATGTTTTACTGCACCAGGTGACACCAACCCTAGTGACGCCACTGAATCTAAAAAAGAAAACTGCTTAGATACTTTGATATTGTGATTAGAAGAAAAGGATACTACTTAAAATATTATTGTGCAGTCAAAATCATCTGGTATATGACCGCAGTTCTGAAGAATGCTTATAGATAAATTATGTTTTTAGTGACACATGGTTATAAGATGCAGACAGGATTGCTAGATCATCATTACCAGCATTTTTTACAGCAATTGTTCTGTTTTCCAGTATTATTTATTATTTTATTGCCACACCTATAACATATTTAATCTGATTTTAATAGCTAGCTTCTTAAAAATGGATACTCAAGAGGATAAATGAAGATTTAATGATTTGTTAGCTAGACTGCAAATTTGTATGACTAGTTTCCATTAAAACAGTACACTCCCCGGCCACTTTATTAGGTACACATGTTCAATTGCTTGGTAACACAAATTGCTAATCAGCCAATCATATGGCAGCAACTCAATGCATTTAGGCATGAAGACGACTTGCTGAAGTTCAAACCAAGCACCAAAATGGAGAAGAAAGGGGATTTAATTGACTTTGAACATGGCATGGTTGTTGGTGCCAGATCTGGCTGGTCTGAGTATTTAAAAAATTGCTGATCTACTGGGATTTTCATTCACAACCATTTCTAGGGTTTACAGAGAATGGTCCGAAAAAGAGAAAATATCAAGTGAGCGGCAGTTGTGTGGCCGAAAATGCCTTGTTGATGTCAGAGGCCAGAGGAAAATGGGCAGACTGGTTGCTGCAACATTCAGATGGTAGGGTCAGAATTTGGTACAAACAACGTGAAAACATGGATCCATCCTGCCTTGTATCAACAGTTCAAGCTGGTGGTGGTGTAATGGTGCGGGTGAAATGTTTTTGGCACTAGCAAGGTGTACCTAATAAAGTGGCTGATGAGTGTATATGCAGCTATTTTAAATGGCAATTACAGACAGCAATTAAAGTGAACGTTTTTAATAGAGTGGGATAGGTTTACCCCTGTCTCGTTTTTACTGCTACTGTTACACAGATTTCCACTCCCTTCCTGTCAGAAAGCACCACCTTGTCACCTTTAGTTTGATTTTCATAAAAATGCCTGAAGTCAAATTCATTAATTTTTTTTTAAAATAAAAAACACCCTCAAAAGCTTTTGGCAGAATGTTTGTAAAACATGCACCTCTTGCAGAAGGTGAGAACATTGTTATTCTGGGCTCAGAGAGAGAGGATTGTTTCAAAACACAAATTCAGAGTAATTAAAAAATATAAAGATAAGCACCCTCTACAAAGGCAGCTAAAAAAGTATCCTCCTTTGTTCAAGACACCAGGGATTTGCTCAGGGCAATTATTGATTTTACGATGATGGATCAACAAATCCTAGTAAATATTAACTTGGTGTCTTTAGATACCTTCATCCCACGTAGCACCAGATTATTTCTATTTATGTAAAAAAAAAACATTTAGGTCTAATTTAGGATCCAGCACATTCTTGAAAACACCAGATAAGATCTTTTATCAAATGCCTGTCTAAAAAAGTAGTGTATCAGGTCTCATGTCCATGCACAAATGACTATATTGGGAAAAGCAAACAACAACTAAAGGTCTATATCCACTTGACCTCTGGAAGATTTACCCACCCCCTCCCCTTTCATGACCAGGCCATTTTTTGCTATATGGCACTGCATTATTTTAACTGACAATTGTGCGGTCATGCAACACTGTACATAAATTAAATTTATTTAATTTTTCGCCCACAAAATTAGCTTTCATTTGGTGGTATTTGATCACCACTGGGTTTTTTAGTTTTTGCACTATATAAAAAAAAAAAAACAACAATTTTGAAAAAAAAAAAAATTTTTTTTACTTTCTGCTATAAAACACATCCAATAAAAAATGTTAAAAAATGTAATTTCTTCATAAACTTAGGCCAATATGTATTCTGCTACATATTTTTGGAAAAACAAAATCCCAATAAGCGTATATTGATTGGTTTGTGCAAAAGTTTTTCAAACTATGGTATATATACTGGATTTATATATACTAATAATGGCAGCAATCAGTGACTTATAGTGGCACTGCGATATTGCAGACACTAACTGACACTTTGCGGGAACCAGTGACAATAATACAGTGATCAGTGCTAAAAAAAAATACACTGTCACTGTACTAATGACAGGGGCTGGGAAGGGGTTAAACATCTAGGGTGATCAAAGGGTTAACTGTCCAACCAGTGATTTTGTGTTTCCTATGTGGTGTTTTTACTAGGTAATGTGCTGGATTTTATTCCCTGCTTTTCAAGGAAACAAAATCCAGCACATCACTGTTGAAAGGATACAACTCTGCCTTGTTTACATGGGCAGAGCTGTGTTCTGTCTCTCTCCTTGCCAATTAGTGTGTGCTGGCACGCGCTGATCGGCTTTGGCAGCTATAAAACTGGGAAGGCTGTCCACAAGGTTTAAGAGTGTGTCTATGGGAATGTTTGACCATTCTTCCAGAAGTGCATTTGTGAGGTCAAGCACTGATGTCAAGAAGGCCTGGCTTGCCCTCTCCATTCTAATTTATCTCAAAGGTGTTCTATCAGGTTGAGGTCAGGACTCTGTGCAGGCCAGTCAAGTTCTTCCATCCCAAACTTATTCATCCATGTGTTTATGGACCTTGCCTTGTGCACCGGGGCGCAGTCATGTTGGAACAGGAAGGAGCCATCCCCAAACTGTTCCCACAAAGTTGAGAGTATGAAATTGTCCAAAATGTCTTGGTATGCTGACATCTTCCCTTCGCTGGAGCTATGGAGCCAAGCCCAACCCCTGAAAAACAACCCCACACCATAATCCCCCCTCCACCAAACATTACACTTGGCACAATGCAGTCAGACAAGTACTGTTCCCCTGGCAACTGCCAAACTAAGAGACATCCATTGGATTGCCAGCCAGAGAAGCATGATTTGTCACTCCAGGGAACATGTCTCCACTGCTCTAGAGTTCAGTGTGCTTTACACCACTGCATCTGACGCTTTGCATTGCACTTGGTGATGTAAGGCTTGGAAACCCATTCCATGAAGCTCTCTATGTGCTGTTGTTGTGCTATTCTGAAGGCCACATAAAGTTAGCTATTGACTCTGCAGACAGTTGGCAACTTCTGAGCACTGTGCCACTTCAGCATGTGGTGACCCCGCTCTATCATTTTACATGGTCTACCACTTCGTGGCTGAGTTGCTGTTGTTCCCAGTTGCTTCCACTTTGTTATAACACCACTAACAGTTGACTGTGGAATATTTAGTAGCAAGGAAACTTCACGGATGGACTTATTGCACAAGTGGCAACCTATCACGGTACCACGCTTGAATTCACTGAGCTCCTGAGAGCGACCCATTCTTTCACAAATGTTTGTAGAAGTAGTCTGCATGCCTGGGTGCTTGATTTTATACATCTGTGGCCATGGAGGTGATTGGAACACCTGAATCCAATGATTTTAAGGGGTGTCCCTATACTTTTGGCAATATAGTGTATCTTGCCACTGCTTCCAATGTAGTCACCAATGAGCACTGATTGGCACTGATAGGGT